GGGGGGGGGGGGATCCTGTAACACCCCCTCCAAGGGCTCCAGCGACGGGGGGCGGAGCAATGCTCCCTCCACGCCGGCTGTGCGAAGGCTAGGCGCCCACAGTCTGCTCCCTGCCCGCCCTCGACTACAAGATGGGGCTCCAGATGGGGGGCAGCCTCCGCGTCAACTTGGGGCGTCGCGGCTACCACTGCTCCCTCGCAGGCAAGACCACCTCCCTACCCCGATCCCTGCCTATCCCGCCCTTCGTGCTCACAGCGCTCAGGAAAGTTTCGGGGTCCCCGCGGCGCCTCCTAGCCCGAGGGGTCCGGAGTCCCGGGCCTTCGGGCCGCGGCGTCGGGGAGGGAAGTTTGTCCAGCCGGGGCTCGGCGACTGCTAAGTTCGAGTACGCCCGCCTCGGAACCCGAGAGCGGGGAAGCCCAGGACCGACGGACCCAACGCGCCACAACCAAAGCCCCACCAGCGAGGGGACTCGGCCCCGGCGCGGACGCTCAGGGCACGGCGCGGGGACTGGAGCGGCCCGGGCTGCGAGAGCCGCTGGGGACCCCGTGCCCGCCCCCGCTGCCGCCCGGGAGAGCATCTTCCTTGCCTCCCCCAGGGGCTGGGACCCGCTGGCCCTGCAGCTACGGTAGAAGCGACCCCCAAGCCGCAGCCCCCTCCCCTACACGCCCCTTCCTACCTGGGCCGGGGTGCGGGCCAGGGGCCGGAGGCACGGTCACGGGCGAGCGGAGCGCGCGCGCCCAGGTCCCCGGAGCGCGGCGGCGGCGGCGGCGGCTTCCCCCCCTTCCTCCGGCTTTTCCTCCTCCGGCCTCGCCGGCTCCAGACAGATCTCCCCCCCCCTCGCGCCCTGCCCGCCACTCCCGGAGCCTCTGCCGGGCTGGGCTCCGCCTGCGACGGGGAGAGGAGCGGAGCCGGCGGGAGCCGGGCTGCGGCGCTCACTGCGTCAAGCGCGGGGCGAGCGCGGGGCGGCGGCGGGGACAGCGCTTGGCGAGCCCTGGGCCGGCCGGGCAGGCGGGGGAGCGGCGCCTCCGGCTCCGGCTCCGGCTCCGGCGCGGGCGCGGTGGTGGCGGCCGCGGCCGCGCTGAGGTTGTAGCGTTTGGTGGAGGAGCCCGAGCGGGGAGGGCTGGAGGAGGGGCGGGGGGCGCGCGGCGGTGGCGATCCCTCACGTCGGTGGACTGGGGGTGTCCAGAGGGTGAGGCGGGAGGGGAAGTGGGAGCGTGCTGTGGGGGCGGAGTGGAGAGCCCAGCGGCATCGTCGCCCCCTCCTTCCGGCTCGCTCTGCGCGCCCCCGCCCCGCCCCCGGCAACGTTAGAGCAGAAGCCCCCGAAGGCCTAGGAGTCGGGACACTGGGTGGAGATGGGAGGTGGGCCCCTGGGGCGGAGATGTGCACGCGCGTGCGGGCACTGCCTTGTGCACACACACCCGGCAACCGCGTGAAAGTTGACCCGAAGTCAGACCCTGTGTAGGCGCGCGCGTCCGCGAGTGCAATCGCTCGGCCCGCAGGGGCGCGCGTTTCCGGGATGGGGAGGGCCCTGCATCTGCTAGGGGTCGCGCCCTAAAGGACTTGCCCTCCCCCAGATCGCTGACCCCCACTAACCCTCCCACTGCTCGACCCCGCCCCCCCTTTCTGTTAGGGGGAGGGCCGAGGAGGGTGTGTGGGATCAGCCAGGATTCTTCGGGTTCCGGAAGGTTCGGTTTAGCGGATTTTCCTCCCACCGATCCCCTTCCCCTACAGTCGCCTCCCGAACCCCCGGGGGACTGAAATCTCTCGCCGGCCTCTAAACAGGGTTCTAAATCAACAGCGCCCTGGTCTCCCTGAGCCCGCACCCAGCGTCCACACCGCCTCCCGGGGCGGCTCCCGCTCCCCACGGCCGCTGCCCAGCCTGCGGCTTGCGTGTTTGGTGAGAATTCCAAACCAGACTCAAGAGTGCCCCCGCCCGGCACGGCCTGCGCGCCGCTTCCTGAGCAGCTGTGTCGGAGCCCGGGAGCCGGGACGCCGGCGGGCGCGCGGGGCAAGACCCTCCGGGCGCCGCGCCCTGCGCTGCGCCCATGCCGCGCGCCCCTGCCCCGCGTCCTGCCCCGGCCCGGGAAGGGAAACAGAGACGGCGGGGTCGACCTGCGCGCCGCGGGGCGCGCGCGGCATAGGGGAGGGGTCTGCTGGAGGGCGAGGGGCGCCCCACCCCCCGGGAGGAGGCGCCGGGACAGGCGTGGGAGTGGCGCGTGAGGCTGCGAGCAGCGCGGCCAAAGGCTGGCTCGGCCGAGGATGGGCGCGCGGGGGTTCCGGTTCGGGGTCCGGTCCAGCGGCCTCTCCGCAGCCCATAAACTCCGTTCAGCCTGCGGCGCCCGCTGCCGCCCTCCAGCTCCTCCCAACCCCACCCGCGCCTCCACCAGACTCGACGTCTCCGCGGGAGAGCCGAAACCCCAGAGGGGGCCGGGATAGAGGATAGGCCACCACCTTTACCCTGGACCCTTGGGCCTAGAGGATGACGGTCAACGTCGGAGCCACTGTCTTCTGGCTGTCCTGTCTTTGAGGGGCGCTCAGACCTCCTGGGACCGAGAGGTGGGGGCAGAGGCTGCCTTGGGGGGGGGTGTCTCTCTTGCCAAGCGTCCCTACTAGAGGTGCACTGCCCCTCTGTAGCCTAGGCCGGCTCACAGCCCCCGTTCCCACTTTCTCCCCAACTCGCCACGGCCTTGCAAGTCCGCGACCTGGTTCTCCAGGAGCGATGCTCCTGCCTTAGGGGAGCACTCCTGCCGGATACCCAGGCCTTTCCTGCTCCAGCATCTTGAGATGTGGAAATATGCCCTTGTTTGCTCTAAGAGGGCAGAGCCTGGCTGCTGCCCCCCAGAAAGGCCAGACCCGCCTCAGGCTGGGAATGGGAGACCCCAGGGCAGACCCGGAGGGAGGAGGGAGGCCAGTCTCTCTCTGGGCTAAAGAAAGGCGGAGGGCTCTCTCTCTGGTGTGTCTGCTGTGAGGCAAGATCCCTCCCTCCCTCCCTCCCTCGTCTCTCAGACACTCCTCTCCTTCTGAGGAACCCCCCTCCCAGCCTCTGTTGTAGACACACTGCACCCACACACCTCATGTCTATAGGCAGCCGCATCCTCACCCACCAGCCCACCCCACCATGAGGCATTATTTGGTCGGGAACGTGGGATACTGCTCCACCCTCACAGAAGCCCAGCTTAAGTTGTAGCTGGTATAGCCTGGCATCCTGCTCAAGCACCCCCAAATCAAATACACCCCAAGTCCACACCTAACACACATGCACTCACGCACACCCATATGGAATTATAAAATTCACTTCCATGTGTCAAGCGTGTGCTTGCTGCTTGCATCAGTTCAGTTCATCCTCATGGCCACCCTAGAAATGAGTACTATTAACACCTCCCACTTCACAGGGAGGCCAGGATTGAACTCTGCAGGAACTGGGTCAGCAAGATTCTTGTTTTTATTGTAAGAAACCAACTGCCATATCTGGATGCACCAGTGCTCTTTGGGGAGAGACAAGCTAGGAAGTGAGGGCCCTCGGGCCTGGGGCTATGGGGCCACCACCTTCCCCAGCTGCTAGGGCCCCCCCCCCGTGCCTGTGTCCCCCCGCCTCTTTCCTCCGGACACTCTGAGATTCCCCCGGCCAAGTACTCACCACATTGGATTTTCCACCAGACTGTGAACTCAGCAGAGCAGGACAGTCTGACCCACCTCTGAATCCAGGTGCCATACGCCCGACCAGCACAGGAGGGGTGACTGAGCGCAGTGTCAGAATAGATGAGGGTCTCACATTTCTCTGCACCCCTGTCATGGCTCCTCTCTCCTCTAACGATGGCCTGGCTGGGAGGAACTGACCCAGGCAGGTCAGTCAGTCACCTGAGAGTATGCAGGGAAAGACCAGAGGGACACAAGTGGCCGGGATTAATGTGGAGAAGAGCCCTCCCCACCCCCATCCTGGGAGATGGTACCCAGAGAAAAACGGAGACTGTCTCTTCCTGTGCCCAGAACTTCACAGTAACAACAACAAACAACTTAAAACCCAAAAGCCATAAAAGAAGCCATATGTCCAACTTATATCCAAGCAAATATCCTTTATCCTCATATGTAAAGAGCTCTTACAAATCAATTAAAAAATATACCCAAGAGGGAAAAAAGTGAGCAGAGATTATGAACAGAAAAGGAAATAAAAATAACACATATATACAAAAAGTGCCCAGTCTCACACTTAACAACAGAAATGCAAATTAAAATTACTCTCCAAGATGATTTTTCATTGATCCAATGGGCAAAGAGTAAAGTTTAATGACACACTGTGTTGCAATGGTGTAGGGAAGCAGGCGCTCTTGGAACATCTGAAACAATGTCCAAATTACAAATACATATATCCTTTGGCCCAGCATTTACTTCTAGGAATCTGTCCTCCAGAGACTGCTCCCAAACGTGAAAAATGATATATTATTGCATTCAAGGTTATTCACTGAAGCACTCTTTGTAATAGCAGCTGATTGGAAACATCCTAAATATCGGCTGGCAGTGGAGCGCTGGGAAACATCCACATGGAGGCGCATGCAGTTGGATAAGCACAGACTGATTTGAGTCCATCTCCCGGAATGGTCTTTACGGGAAAAAATAAGGAGAGGAACAGTGTATGTAGTACTTTTTTTTTTTTATGAGTACAAAAAGGCTGTAACAAAATAACATTTTACTTGCTTGTGTGTATTATTTACTGACAATGAAATTCAACCTCCTTAAGACTACAGTTCCACGAGTTTTGACAAATGTATATATCTGTGTCATCACCACCCCAATCAAGATATTGAAACTTCCATCGCCCCAGAAAATGAGACTTCTCACTGAGTACCCACATCTGCCATTTGAATTTTGTACAATGTGCATACATTTCCTTTTGTAATAAATTTAAATACAGAAGTTAAAATGAAAAATTGTTTCCTATCTCTCATCTCATCTGGTCCCTGCAATAACCCAGGAAGGCAAATCTTTCCAGCCCCATTTTACATATCAGACTGAACTTCGTTCCTGGAATGACAGAGATTTGCCCCAGAGAGCCGAGTCAGAACTTGAACCCAAGGCTCTCTTTTCTTTTAACAGATTTATTGAGGAATAATTTACATGCCATACAATTCACCCATTTCAAGCGTGCTAGTCAATGGTTTTTAGTATATTCACAGAGTTGTGCAACCATCTAATTTTAGAGCATTTTTTACCCCAAAAGGAAATCCCAGTACCCGTTAGCAGTCACCCCCATTCTCCATCACCACCTCTAACCCTAGGCAGCCACCAACCTACTTTCTGTCTCTGTAGATTTGATTATTCTAGATATTTCAAATCAATAGAATCATATGCTATGTGGTCTTTTGTGACTGGCTAATTTCACTTAGTGGTATTGTCTTAGTGGTAAAATGCAGGGGTTTTTTGTTTGTTTTTTGTTTTTCGGTTTTTTCAGATATGGAGTTTATTTAAAATCATGTTAACCTGTGATGTAGGCATTTGGAATAAAAGAGTGGAAAATGAGCTGAATGAGTCTGAGAAAGCATCTGAATCAGCATCATCTTACATGCAAGGACGATGAGGCCCACGAAGTGAAGTTTCTTGCCCAAGTCAAATGTTAGTTGGCAGCAAGTCTACGATGAAAATTTAGATTCCCTTCTTCCTACTCCTCTGCTTCTTCTGACAAATACTTGGCCTACACGGTTTAGAATCCTAGATCCCTCTTTTCCAACCTCTAGAGATGGCAAGATGTGGAGGGGAAGGGAAAGGGAGGATCCATGCCTGCATCCTTTGACACATGCCTCTGTAGCATCTTGAACTTTCATTCCTTTTGATTGGCTAATAATATTCCATTGTATGGATGGACCACATTTTATTATCCATTCACTAGCTGATGGACATTTGGGTTGTTTCCGCTTTGGGGATATTACGAATATGCTGCTATGAACGTTTACGTAGTTTTTACATTTTAACATATGTTTTCATTTCTCTTGGGTGTATACCAAGGAGTGGAATTGCTGGTCATATGGTAACTCTGTGTTTAACATTTTGAAGAATTCCCAAACTGTTTCCAAAGTGGATGCAACATTTCATATTTCCACCAGCGGTGTGTATGTTTCAATTTCTCCACACCCTCACCACCACTTGTTTTTATCTGTCTATTTGATTCTGGCCATCCCAGTGGGTGCGAAAGGGTATCTCACTGTGGTTTTGATTTGCATTTCCCAATGGCTAATAATGTTGAGCATCTTTTCATGAGCTTCTTGGCCTTTGTAAATCTTTGGAGAAATGTCTATTAGGGTTCTTGTCCACGGCCACTAGGCTATTTATCTTTTATTATTGATTATTTTATTATTATTTATGATTTTATGATTTTATTATTGATTTTTATTATCTTTATATATTCTAGACACAAGTTCCTAATTAGATTTATAATTTGCTAATATTTTCTCCCTTCCTATAGGTTTTTTCACTTTCTTGTTGGAATTGTTTGCAGCACAGAAGTTTTTAATTTTGATGAGGTCCAATTTTTTTTTTTTCTTTTCATTGCTTGTACTTTTGGTGTCGTATCTAAGAAGCCCCTGCCTAAGGTGAAGATTTACTCCTATGTTTTCTTCTAAGAGTTTTATAGTTTCAGCCCTTATATTTAGGTCTTTGATCCATTAGGTTATTTTTCAGATGCTGTGAAAAGGGGGTCCAGTTTCATTCTTTGCACGTGCTGTTGGTCCCAGCACCATTTGCTGAAAAGACTGTTCCTTCTCCATTGAATCATCTTGGCCCCCTTGTCAAAAATAAAGTGACCGTAAATACAAGGGTTTATTTCTGCACCCTCAGTTCTACCCCATAGGTGTATATGTCTCTATTCTTCTGCCAGACGCCTCTGTCCCGGTCCCTGTAGAACCTGACAGTGGGACGTGGGAACCCTCTGCTTCGTTCTTCATCTGCAAGATCGTTTTGACTCTTTGGGGCCCTTTACTCTTGAACTCAGTGCAAACCCTTGGCTTATCCCTCAGCCTCCCGGGCTGCCTCCGGCACATGTAGGAGCCCTGATAACTCAATATTACCAACAATGGAATTGCTACCAACAAAGGGCGCACTTTTCAATCACCTACTGTACGCCAGTACTTACTGTGTGTAAGTACTTGATGTTCGTTCATTCTTTCATGCCATGGCGACACTGAGGCACCAGGAGTCCAAGAAACTAGTCCAAGGTCTCACACACACGGTCAGTGAACAGCTACCACGGTCCAGCCGCTTGGCTAGGCTACAGCACCTGGGCTCTTTCATTGGCTTTCACGTGTAATCTTGCAAATTTTCAAACATACAGAAAAGTTGATATAATTTTATAGTGACGCCCAAACGCCCACAGCAGACATCTGGCTCCACTTGCTTTATCACCTTTCTCTCCAGCCCCCAGGAATCAACCACTTTCCCAGTTGGTTGCAGATGTCCATACACGACACCCCTAAATAGGCAGCACGCACAGCACAAACAAGACTTCAATGTTCATTATGGATTTTTTACATCTTTGGAGTAAAATTGATAATGAAATGTAGAAACATCAGGGGGACCACTGAATGCTCTAACGTGTGCTCTGCAGCCCAAACCCCCCATTGAGAGACAGAACATTCGCTCCAAAAATGCCCACGTGCCCCAGCTCCCCGCGCCACCCTGGCTCCGACTTTTTCCACCATACGTTGGCTTACTCTCTTCCGGAATTTCATAAACTTGGGGTCATAGGGTATATGCCCTCCCTGGGTCTGGCACCTTCCACCCCGTCCAAGGTGTGTGCCCGTTGGCTGCCGTTTTGCTGAGCGGCGCTGAGTCGTTCGCGTTAAGATATGAGTGGTAAAAACAGGTATACTTTAATGCTTCCAGTTCTGAGAGTCCATGAAATACACTCCCTTGTCTACAGGAGCCGTCCGCCCATCCCGGCGGCTCTTCCCCATCGTGGGGCTGGGCGCCTGGAGGCCTCGCAGCACCACCCCCATGGCGTGTCTCGGTCTGAGGGAGGCAGAGACATCTGCCCAGCCTACAGACGCCACGCTGCTCCCCCGTGGCCTCAGCTCTGGCCTCTCTCCTGCTCACCTGCGTGACCTCTGTTCGCACCTGTGTCCCCACCTGCTCCTCGGGGCCAGGTGCACACCGATCGGAGGAAATGGGGGCCATGTCGCCTCCTTGGAAGCCAGAGGCTGCAGAAATGCACGTCTTTGTTGGCATCGTGCGTCTGGGGTAAAGCACACGATAGGCTGTTGGGTGGAGAAATCAACAGAGTGTGAACTGCATAGAAAATTCAATTCCAATTTTGCAAAGAAAACATGTGCGTGTGCATAGAAGCGAGACCTGTGGCCGAACGACGGTGCTTTTCGTTCTTTTTTTTTTTTCCAGAACTGTCCCCCTTGACCATTAGGAATGTGGATTACGACAGCCGGGGCTGTCGGAGCTCGGGCCGCGCTGAGGCACCCTGCCCTCAGGGACCCTGAGATGTCAGGTCTGTGTCCTTGACAGGCGCGGCCCAAGGCCACCATCAAGGACCAGCCAATGTTTGCAGACTGGATGTGGGCAGGAAGGACAGATGGACAGACAGACAGAGGGGGCCTCACACCTGGGTCGGGTCCATTGCGTCTCCAAGTTCTGGGAACTAATAGGCCGCCTTTCCCAGGGCTGCAGAGGTGGGGCTGGGAAAGCTGTCCCAAAGGGGCTTGCACCCCCTCGTGCTCTGAGGGCTGGAGCTGCTCTCCTACAGCGTGAGAGGCCGGGGACCACAGCTCCCCAAGGGGGCCCCCAGGTCCCTCCAGGGACTCCAAGATGGAGGTGCCGTCAGAGGCCACAAGTGGACGTGGTGTTGAACACATGTGGACCCCTGCCGACACAATGAAAGCGGCTGCAGCACCGGCCCTACCCCCACTTCTCACGTGAGCCCCTGGGGTCAGGACCAGTCAGAGCAGTGTCACCTTTGGGCAAAGTACTCACAGTAGGTGCTTCGGGACCGAGCCACAGGCGTGCCCTTCCTCACAGGTGGGCCGTCAGCGTGTAGCCCTGCTGCCCTGCTCGGTGGGGACCCCAATGCCCACGCTTCTCCCTGGGATACCCGCTGCAGCCCAGCCCCGGGGCGCAGGAGCCCGGGGGCAGAGGGCGGGTCTGGGTTCAGCGGGCACCATCCTAGTGCGGCGCTCGTCCCCTTCTGAGGGTGTGGCCCCCTCACCTCCAGGCCTGTGCTTACACCTGTGCCCCTGCGTGGCATGTTGTCCAGCACTCTGGCCGGCCTGCCCCAGGCCTCTGCCCTTCAGGCCCAGCTTGGGTGTCCTGGGCCGGTTCAGGTGCCCGTACACGCCCATCACCTGGGCTGGGGTCGTGGTTCCTGATCGGGGATCACCTTGCAGGAAGGGGCTTGTGCCAGTGCCCCGAGCCCCAGTGCCCCTCACAGGACTTGAACTTACCTGGCTGGAGGTGGGGGGGATCCCAGGGGAGGGACAGGCAAGTGGGTCCAGGGAACAGAGGCCAACTCCGCTCCTCCCCCTGGCAGTCTCCATGCCAACCGACTGTCCCATCTCCTGCTTCGGTGTCAGCTGCTCTCCTTTCCCAGAGGGCCCTCTGCCCCCACAGACAGGCCACTTACCCTGAGCCCCGGTCAGGATGGAAAACCAGGCAGAGTAGGAGATTTGGGCCAGGAGGTGCCCTGCTGCAGGGAACGATTGATTGAGTTTTCTTCAGGAATGAGGCCAGTGCCTCCATCCTTCCTGGCCGAGCGCCCTCCCTCTGGCCTGATCCGTGGGTCAGAGGCTTGTGGATGAGAGTCCAGGGGGTGGCCTTCCTCACAGCCACCCTGATCCACCCCTTCCCGGGTCCATGTTGACGCCTCTGCAGGGCGGCCTGAGATCTACAGCTGCAGGCCTCAGATCCCCCCAGGCTGCCCAGCCCCTGGGCCTCCATTAAAGTACCAACTAGTGTGGGAGGTGGCCCCTCCACCTGCCCCTCCTTGCAGGACAACATGCCCCCCCGCCCCGCTCAATTACTTTTGAGAAAAAAAATACACCGCCCCTTGTGTTACTGTCCTTTCTTCTCCCACTCAAGCCTCCTGGCCCAGTGGGGCATCAGGGCGTGCTTGATTTCCTCCAATGTCAGGGAGCTCACTACTGAGCCCTGGCAGCTGCTGGCTTTATGCACCTACATGTCCCACCTGGCTCTGTCTTGAGAAGGGCTGAGCACCCCGTCCTGCCCCAGATAGGGCGGCTCCTCGGGCCATTTCAGGGCAGCCTGTGGTGGGCCCACCTCTGAGGGCTCCTGGCCTCAGCTCAGTCCTCGGCCCAGCCCTGCCCGCCCCCTCCCACGTGACCTCCACCCACACCTCCTCGCCTCCCCTGCATCTCTGCAAAGGTGTCCCCAGCTCTCCTGGCTGTGCAGCCACCAGTGCCCCCTGGAGCTGACCTCTCGGGAGTCTGGGCTTCACGGGCCAATGGGCAGCAGCCCGGGACAGGCTGTGATGGACGCCAGCAGGGCAGGGACCCAGCTTTATGATGGACTGTCAAGTGGGCAGCAGATAAAACACCTACCCAGTGGGACAGAAGCAAGATATAAAAAGCCGCCACGGCGCCTTTTTATTGACTAGAAATCTTGTCCTTCATGTCCCATTATCTCCCGGGCTAACAGGCCGCACGCTGAAGCTGGAGGGAAGTCGGTGTCCTGGCCGCAGGGAGACGCGGGCTCCCAGGGCGCCCGACGCAGCCTGGGGCCCCCGGTCGTCCCCCAGCATCAGTGAACCCCTCCCAGGACTGTCTGACATGGCGGGTCACTGTCCCCCATGCACCTTCTCCCCCTTCTTGTCGGGGGTCCGGCAGGACACGATCACCCCTCGCGGAGGCTGCGGGTGGCGAGGGACTTGCCTAAAGCAGAACTGGTCCTAGCTCTGCAGCATCAGTAGCAGCGCAGGTTCTGGGGCCG